AAGCTCACCTTTGCATATTTTTCCAAAGCTAGCACTACATTCCAAGCCCATTCCCGATATTTGTCTTGTTTTGTGATGCGCCAGAGGTAGAACCATGTTTCAACCACCTGGGTTTGTATTTCAAGACTTGAACTCAAGAATCGTGTAAAAAATTGAAATTTGGTTATCGACAGCTAAGGAAGAATTTCAATAAAAAAGCAAAAACATAGAAATAAATTGAGCAAGAGTCCAAAAATTACCTCAGGTCTCAATATGTAGTATTTTTCATTATTGGCTACAGCTTTAGCCTCACTGTCTACAGTAAATCGGAAGGCTTCTGGACCAATTCCAATAGCTAAAATACCACATATGAATTTAGGTGATACAATTCGAGGACTAGTAGTTCAGTCCGAAGTTTCTGAATAATTTACAAAAAAACGTACCACTACGGATGTAGGACTCATGACATGTATGGGCTATCTTTTCGGCGAGATCCAAGTAATGATTCTAAAACTTTCTCATTAGTTTGCATTCAAAAATTTTTTAGAGTCTAATCAGTTTAAAAGACACAACCATACCGCAACACTAGCGTTGGGCTCATTTGCTGACTGTAGCGCAAACATTCCTCCCGAAAAACAAGCCAAATGCTCCATCTTATGCATTACTCGACTCCCATGAAGATTTGCAAAATACCTGTAAACATGCCACTGGAAATATTACGGTAAAATAGGAAAAAAATGAAATATATTTACTTCGAACACGTAATTATCATAAAGCAATATTAATAAAGATAATAGTAATAATCGCTATGACATAGCGTAATAATCAAAAAATCACCATAGTCCGCTCTTTTCGCTCTTAAACAGCATCTTTTTCTCCATGGCAAAAACAGCAGCGTCATACTCCTTTTTGGTGCGATCATCTATCTTGCCCGTAATCAGCCAATGTTTTAATAGGTATTCATAGAAGCTGTCACCCAAAGCACCAATAGAATGGTCCACTGTAATATCATGGAAAAGTATTCTACATCATCTTCATCAAGCACGAATTGTGTAGCCATCGAAGAACCTTACATGATCCCCATTTGCCAGTTTTTGGGTTCAGATACAACGGATAGAGACCATTAGGTTTGTCCATATTCGTCAAGAAGTCACGAATTCGCTCGATCTGGTATCAGTTCGTTTTGGAAAGGATGATTCTTCATTTTTTGAATTTAGTTTCCAATACCGCCTTAGTACCCATGCGCTTACCTTTTCCGAGTAAATCTTATTTCCTGTAACGTGCGAGAGGTAATCAAACTCCAGTTGTAGTGAACCGAATTCGGACAAAATCGAGCTTTGACCACTGGCCCAACCATAGTTTTTAGCCGAACCTTAAACAAACTTTCAAATTTCAGAACAAATTCGAAAAAAAATCCCTGTTAACCAAAAATGGTATAAGTGAAATTCCAGTGATTAATTTACCACTTCAAATTGTTAAAGTACGAACCTGTAACCACGTTTACTACAGCATAAGGGATCCCCGTAGGAGTATCGAATGCAGGCAGGAGAAGCTTAGCTATTTCTTCCGCTTTTTCTACATACATCTGTAAATATAGTACGCAATCTTTTCTCACATACGAGTGAAATGATAGTCAATAATAAATAAAATAAATTAAACAATAAAAATAAACTAGGTTAGGCTATATGTAGCGAATACTCGTTTGAACCTTAAAAACGTCCTTATTCTTCCTTTTGTGGGGGGGGGAGCGGCGTAGATGGATTAATAAAACGTCCAATTAAACCGAAATGCTTCGTTTCAAAAACGGACTTAAAGTCGCCTTTCTACAAAATAAAGACCATGAATTTCGCTAGCCTGTGATAAAAAAAAAACTTTCATAAGCAATGATCAACCACTATAAGCGCACGCGCACGGATTGCGAATTTGAAATCCAAGCTGTTGCTATTTAAGCACAACTGTGCTAGCTTCTTCATAATCTTTCCTTATTTTATCTCAACCCATAATTCCAGTGTCGACGATTGCATCCACTATCGTTGCTCCCATGTCTCCCATTCCAAACACAGAGGCGGAATGTCCTTAAAAATATCGATTACGGGGGGTACGATTCATGTAGTACAACAACAATTCAGTGTCATCAAAACATGTCATTTTCAACAATGAGCAATTTGGCAGCATTCGCGTAAGCGTCCAAAACAGGAGAGCTCTGCCGAGGAATCAATGGAAAAATTATGTTCCACGTAGATATGGAGCACAAGATGATAAATGAAGACCGTAGAAAAAACAAGGTCATTTTTAAAAACGAAGTTTCATATTAAATAACATCACTGAGAAAAACGAAGCAATATATTACAAAGCTAAAAGTACAGAAAGAAACGAAGAGTAGCATCAATCAAACAACAAACTAAAGCGAAAGCTTCCCACTTACCCGTTTTGGAAACTGGCCGTAATTCGTTCGCACCCCATGCATACTTTCTATAGCTGTCCCAAGCGAATTTGGTCATCTAAAGTAAACATTGATCCTTCTTACTTTCATTAGAGAACTAGAAAGAACGCTAGTAACAAAGTGGTCCACCTGCTTTACGGTTATCCGTCGCGCATCGCTGTCGTCACCTGCCGCAATTTCCGGCTTGGGGATTGGTGGTGCAACGATTCCGGCTTCTTCCGCTTTTCTCTGTAGCTCTGCAGCTTGTTTTTCTTGCATGAGCCTCCTAGAAAGAGAATTCTTTTTGAACAAAAAGAAAACGCCGTAGAAGTGCCTCACCGTGCTTCGAGATCTCTGACGTGAGGCACGATATGCTCTCTACCAAGAAACTCATCGGTGCCGCTAGATGGGAGCAGATACAGTGAAAGAAACGAGACCGCTGACAGAAATATAATACCTACGGTTATCACGTATCTTTCACCCATCTTCAGCCCCATTGGCCGTGAGTACAGGCAAAAAGCACTGCCTGAAACAGTCGATTGAATAAATAAAATGTTAGTTCCCATTCAAGAGCGAATATCGATTATGCATCCGTACAATTCTACAGTCAGAAGAATGAAAAATGTGTGATTAAATCCCTTTTTCGAATATTTTGAACGCTTTCCGAGGGAAAAACGTGTTCAGGATCACCAATAGGGTGATTTCGCAACATTTTAATAGGGACATAGATTGATCTTGACAAATACCTCAATTGCGAAAAGAGCAAACAAAAGCGTACAATGATTTAAATGTGTATTGATCGAGAAAATAACCGGTGAAGAAGACGGAAAAAGGATACGTACAGCGTTTTTGACCATTTTTACAAGGACAGAACGATATTTTGGCAGCCTTAATGAACGTAATAGACCTTAACATAGTTTGAAAATAAATGTGTTACAAGTATGTCGAAGAAAACCAGTAACAGCACGCTTTCATTGCTCGAAACCGTACAAAATACCCCGACCGTACTAGAAGGTCCTAGCAGTACCTGGACTTACAAAACGCAAAATTAAAAAAAACGGCGCTACAAAAAGAGCGATAGAGATTGACACGACCTACAATACATACAAAAGTTTTGGATGCGCGCGAATGCACTGAAACAATCGAAGCTAGTAATTTCGCATTAGAGGCAAGCCCCCCCCCCCCCAAACAAAATACATGTATCTTTATCAATGAGGAACTCCAAAACCCTGCACAAATCGGTCTGGGAAGACTGAAGCATGAACTCAACGAGGTGTTTCATAATTCAGCTCGTAACCAAGATTGTTGCCAACAGTTTACTCTGCTGTCCCTTCGGCGTTGTCGCGTTCAACGAGAAGGAGGAGATAGTAGTGTGGCAAGTAGCGCCACTTACCACATACACGGATTGAGAGGGTCAAACCCCGGATCAGACTGCCCAAGCCACCAAAACACCGCCGTCACCACTGGTACGCCGAACGCCACAAGCCAAAGCCACCCGGCTGGGTATAGTTCTCCGACTGCGTGGAGAATACAGAGAGAAAGTTCTGCTTTGTAAGTCACGTACTGGGCCACCCGCCCAAAGCATTGTAGCGCCATGAATACATTCAATGCCCACAAAACTGATAGTTGAATGAAACTAACGACGCGTGCGTATCCCCAAAAACCCTTGGAAAGTGAGCGAATCGACGCCGTGAAAGCTTATCCTTCCTCCTCTGACCGCCAGCCAAAAGACTCTCCCATTATATGGTGCAACATCCAATAAGAACAGTTAGACTTAATCTGCTTTTAGCCGAAGAGTACTATTGTACAGACCGACTACTACAATGTTAAAAGAAATAATTCATCACAGCTAAAGTTCAAAATAGATCGAAACAGCTTTTCATTCCGAAACTGGGGGAAGCGAATGAAGCAAGCTTCCAGTTGCTATCCCCCCAATGGCCCACCCGGTGAAGTGAGCCGATGGAAGCATTAATGCGTTGTACTAACAAGCTGGCGAAAACCCATCCATTACAGCCACCGACACGCATGTCTATGAATCGGGCCGCGCCACAAATAGACCACCTAGCGGCAAAGTAAACTTTAGGAGTCAATAAAAAAGTACCATACAATCTCCTAGCAGGAAAGATCATCTGTCACTTCCATGAGAGTAGTGCGGGTCCATCTCATTTCTTCTTGATACTATCTCCATACCGCCCCAAACTTATATGAAGCGCGCCCATGCTCAAAGAGAAATAATAAAAACAGGAAGAACATCTCGACAGACAGCAAGATCTGCCTCCCATCCGCCTGAAATGACTGTTCTATGCATAAAAATTAGAGAAGTCATGCTAGTAAGCAACCAAGCGTCAGATGAAGCAGACCGCGCTTCTCACAAGCTGAGCCAACACACTGGTTCCTCTGTCTATGTCCGTGTACTAAGCTGCCAACGAGCGACATCCCACTCAATCAGCGACAAAATATCATCCTTGAAAGCATTCCCCAAGACTTCTCATCCTCGTTGAATCTCGCTAACTGCGAACCCCACTAGAGAGAGCTGCTCCTGAGCCCCAAAGCGTACGAAACCGCTGGGTAGCCGTCGCGTTGCGTGTCAAGATAATAAAGAAGGGGATGAACACACAAAGAGATGTGACAACCGACCCGTCCCGAGTACAGAGTAGAAACCGGCAGGGATGAACAAAAATTATTTTTGTTTACCCCTGCCACGTTCTAACGCTTCAGTTCACATATTAAGGTTAACGAAACGTCGTGCTTCGAAGGATAGCCAGCCACAAGCCGATGAAAGTTCAAGAAACAGTGATGTTTTCAGAAAAACAGAGGAAAGCTTTATGGGAGAACATGTAGATATTAATAGTACGTGACTAAGGAGATAAAGATTTCATTACAGTAAAAGACTGTGAGAGAGCAACGAGAAAAGGGAAAGAAAACGATCGAAATTGAAGACAAGAGGTGACGGAAATGGGTATGGGGAATGCAATCTCATAGGAAAGCCGCAAGAAAAGTTCAAACTGAAATGCGGAGATAATCTCGCAGCCAATCAGTTCACTGCTAAATCGAATTTAAAAATCTAGTTTTCCAGTCCGCAGTGAAAGGCGAATCTGTTTGTGTTCATAAGAAAAAGAAAATCTCACCCGCTCACATACATTCTGAAGATAAACTGCCAAATTCATTCTCAGAACAAGTCTGATGTGCTTTAAATCCTTCATTCGAATTATGCGCAAAGCATCTGACTGTGAAAATGGATCCTATTTCAACCGAGCTAAAGGTAGCTGCGGTGTGGGGCGGACGGAAGAGGAGGAGGGGCAACGCGGAGTCCCAAGACATTCAAAACCACGGCAAACATTTCCATTTTCATACCCGATTAATCCCCTTCCTGCACAAGCAAAATGGTTCGCCAGCCCAAGAGCTTACTCCTCTGCGAAAAATTAGATTGCTGTTGCAGGAAACCATTTCAACCAGTGTGCACGATGCTCCCAATTCCCCTTCTGCGCCTTCAACCTTATTACAAGTGAACGTAGTCGAAATGATTTGAAAGATTTGATGGAAGTGGAAGTTAATCCAAGAAACAAACTTGCAAAAAGGTCCACCGGCACCCATATTTGATTTCTTGTGATAAAGCCTGTATGATGCGTGATTTCCTTCGAGTTTATCAGAACAACTGTAACTATAGAAAAAGAAGTATGTTATAACCACACCCAAAAGTTAAACTAAAAATAGGCGTGGGATGAGAAACTCCTTCAATAGATTGCTTTTCTGTGGTAACCTAATACACCTTAGGTCCAATTGCGAAGAAATAAGGGTGCTAACTTAGTTGGGGGGGGCACGCGGCGGCGCGGCAGTCTGCTCACCTGGGCTCTCTCGAGCGAGACAGTGTAAACTCGAACATTCCAGCTTTCCACACATGTCAAGTGACTG